ACAGTTGGAACTAGTACGCAAATTCAATAAAGTTCCAGGATACGAACGGCACACAAAAGCCAGTTGCATTTCCGTGCACTAACAATGAACAATCTGAAAAGGAAATTAAGAAAACAATTCCACTGACAAAAGCACCAGAAGGAATAACCTTAGCCAAGGAGGAGAAGGACCTACACACGGAAGAGCACCAACACAGTGCAGAAAAAATGAACGAAGACACCAGCAAGAGCAAAGACATCCCGTGCTCATGGATTGGGGGGCTTCCTCCTGTTAGGATGTCAGTGGTACACAAAGCGACCTTCAGGCCTGCTATCCCGTCAGTATCTCAAGTGAAGGCTTTTGCAGAAACAGAGAAATCTGAAAATTCACCTGGAATCTCAAGGGACCTTGACTAGACAAAACTATGGGAAAGAGAATACTGAAGCTGGCGTTCTCACAGCCTCACCGCTGTCTGACCTTGGTCAAGTTACTAAACTTCTCCATTCCCCAATTGTAGCAATGCTGCCCACCTCACAGAGCTTTCAGGAGCACCAAAGGAGTAAGTGTCGGGAAAGGCTCTGGCACAGAGGCGGGAGCACGGTGGCACTCTACAAGGAGACATGCTGCTATTTTTACTAATATTACTCCTTGGGCCTCCCACGAGCCTGGAGGATCCCAGCAGGGACATTCAGCTCCCGTGGAAGTGGCTCAACTCAGTTACGCCCATTTCCCAGAAGTATCTTTTTCTATAGCAAAGTCAATACTTAGAACTGAAACCAAGAACGGAAAGTAGCCCGAGAGGTGAATCACTGGTCTCACCCAGGCAGGGGAAAACCCCGCGGCCGCGGCGCTCAGAATCGCACAGGGTGTCTCAAAATGCACTGGTTTAATCAACCGGAGAAGTGGGGAGCTCACTTCCAGTCATCGCACTTGACATTGGCAGCAGGGGGACAGCCCCAGCCCCTGCCTCTCGAAATCAACTCTTGCCCTTCTGGTCACAATAAAACAGCACACCGTTCTTGAGAGGCGACGGCTCCGTGTGGCCACTGTCACTTACGGGGCACCCTAGTAAGGAACCTGGGCCCTCCCCTCCGAAGGGCACAGCCCTGGATGGGAGCCACGGCCAGGCTGTCCTCCAAGTGGAAAAATGTTCTCATCAAGAAGGCTGGAGGCAGCAGATGGGACGTCCGCGTTTCAGTCTGTGCCCCTCCCTGTGAGACTCACTGGCCACCTGCCCAGACAAGCAGAAGGTCCCTGGGCCTGACCTACAGGACAGGGGTCACTAAGGTGCTGAACCTTCTCCGTGGGCCACGGTAGCACAGATTTTTGCAGCTGACTGCAAAGAAGGACCAGATGAGAGGAGGCAGGAAACCCAGCTAACTGAATCCTCCTGCAGCTGTGGATCAGAGAAGTTGCTTCTATAAGCAAAGCTAGGCATGGGGCCTGGGGGTCCGCCCGTGTGTAGACTCTAGAGGGAAAGCAAACTCAGGCCCAGGATGCTCGCTTTCGGGCAGGGGCCACTCTTCACACAGGTGCCAGGCCTGGCTGCTCCCCACCACACAGCAGGTGGCAATGCTGGAGTTTCCAGCCGGAAAGCCCTGCTGAGCCTGTGAGGCCAGTGCTGCCCTATGCATGGACCTCGGCCCAGACGCGCCTGGCAGTTTCACTTTCTCTCTGGAAGCGTCAGCGGGGAGTAAACACAGTGTTGCGCAATCAGTGGGAGGTGGTGGCCAGGGAGGGGGCTTGGGGACTCGCACTGCTGACTTGTTTGTGGTACGCATCTTCCTGGAAGTCTTTATGAGCATCCCCGAACCAAAGGTAGAAATAAACGTGACATGGCCTGAGGTGGGGGTGCAGGAGCTTAACTGTAAACTGACTGCTTGCTCAGAAGGGACAGGCCTGGTTCACGTTTTCACTGACACCACGGTAAGACCGGAGCCATTTCCACTCTGCCATACCACAGTGGGAGACATCTCTGGGCAAGCCACCCCGGGCCTCTCAGGTAAGGCTCCGTGAAATCTGGTCTTCCAGCAACGTGACGCCAGGTGAGGGTCCGCTCCAAAGACCCTCCTCAAAGTAAAGTGGCCGCTGTGGCCGCTTCTCTTAAATCATGTACTGACACTCGAGGGCCCACCTTTTGCCTCCAGTGTGGGAAGCACAGAGCCAAATTTCACACCCCAACCTTATCCAGGTCCCTGGTAAGAGGATTTCTCACTCTGTCACAATTCTTCATTTTCACGGTACTCGAAATTATAAAACCCCTCATGTCCTTCTACAAAAAAGAAAACAAAATGAATTCATTAAATCTGACTTTGGGGTTCATCTCCAATCATGCTGCTTAAAATAGAACTGAGTGGCCTTTCCGTTGGTGATACCTACCCACGCGCACACGCCTCTCTCCAAGGATCTCCTCCATCCCTCTCCGGAAGAAGAGGAAACACACGGAGAAGCGCCTGGTGCAGAGCCCCACTTGCTGCTTGGTGGGTGTGACGTGCCCAGGATGCTGCCCAATCACCACCGGTTCCCGCCATGCACCAGCGGCTGCTCCGCTGTCCTCTGCCAGCCTCCGGGGAAAAGCCAGGCTTACAGAAGGCTGCTCCTGCAGAAGGGAGCAGCTCTAGAAGCACCTTGAATCAAGAGGAGTGGGAAACCCTCCCAACAAACACATTTTGGACATAGAAGGAAAACCATAGAATTGAGTGGCTGCTGCTGCCAAGGCCTACTAACAGCTACTGCTCCACACGAAGGAGCAGTTTCTGAGTGGGGCTCGGTTCTTGGCCTGTGTTCTCTTAACTCCTTTGTTTGAAGGGATGGCAGTTTGCCTCCCAGCCGGGAGGCAGGCAGGTGCAGTGGCTTAAAGCAATCTTTCTGCTCTCACGGAGGAGCTTCACACACCCACACACATCCAAATGCTTATCTGCTAGCCAAACTGCTCCAAGTAGTTGCTCTAATCTCAGTAGGACAAAGGAAGCAAGCCCTGGGAATTAAAGGCGGTCTGCTTATTAGAATAGTCGGCAGACAACAAAGTAGCAGAGAACAGCTGCAGCGTTTGCACTGAGCTGAGGCTTGGGCACATTAGGGCTAACTGCTGCTGGTGTGTGAGATAAGTAACTCCCGGTGCATTTCCCAAGATGTCTTAGGGCTTTGCCACTTACAAAACAGACTCACTCAGTGAGAACCCTCAGTTAACTGGAATCTTATCCATCCCATCCCTAAATGCTTTTTTTCATTATTCATTTATTAGAGAGAGAAAGGCAGAAAGTTTCCACTTGTTGGTTCACTCTCTGAATGTCTGAAATAAATGGCCAGGACCGGGCTAACGCCAGGAGACGGAGATGGTACCAGACAAAAGCATCCAGGCCTTGTTGCCGGCTGCTGGACAGCCAATTCACCAGAGACCAGAGCTGGTGAGAGGAAAGAGCTTGTTTCAAGCCGGCAGTCTTGGGGAGAGGCCTCTGGATCCAAAACGTGCTCCTTCCCTCCAACAAGCCAGCAACAAAGGTTTTTAAAGGGAAGGCCTAGCAGCAGGTGGAGGTTAGAAATTAAGCAGGTTTTTCAGGCGCCGAGGATGGCCCGGGAGGTGCCCTGATAAGGGCGCTCAGGTGCCTGCAGGTGATGGCTGCAGACTTCCCGCTCTGCGGGGGTGAGGCTGGCCTTCCCAAGTCTTCCCCTTTTTCCAGGCTCCTGAGGCTCCCAGGCAAACATTGTTATTCGCTGGTCACGGGTAATCTACAACACAGCCAGCCCTCCTCAGCCAAAAAAAGGGAAGGGAAGATGCCTTCATCCTGGTGATGGGAACTCAGTTCAGGTCCCACACCGGTGGCAGGAACCCAACTACTTGAACCGTCACTGCTACCTCAGAGGGTCTGCATTAGCAGGAAACTGAAATCAGGCACCAGGGCTGGGCATGGAACCCAGGAACTCTGACAAAGGATCTGGGCATCTTCACTGCTGGGCAGGTGTACTCCCCTTAACACAGGCAGCTAAATTACAGGAATGACATGTACGTCTGAGAGCAAACAAAGTAGCAAGATCCGGGGCAAGTCCCTCACCTAGTCCAGGCTCTCCCACAGCTGTCTATACCCATGTTGTCACCAGCATTGTTGTGGGGAGCCCACAGGTGTCATTGCACCTTCAATCGCTGTAGACAAAAGCATCTTCAAAAAAGATTTATTTATTTGAAAGAGAATTACAGAGATAGAGAGAGAATGAACTTTTATCCACTGGTTCACTCCCCAAATGGGTACAATAGCCGAGGCTGGGTCAGGCTAAGGCCAAGAGCCTAGAACTCCATCCTGGTCCCCAACATGGGTGACAGAGGCCCAACCTCTTGGGCCATTGTCTGCTGCTTTCCCAGGTGCATTAACAGGAAGCTGGATCAGACGTAGAGCAGCTGGGACTCGAACTGGTGCCCATATGGGATGCCGGCATCACAGGTGGCAGCTTAACCCACTGTGCCACAATGCCAGCCCCCAAGAGCATCTTCTTTCAATGTGATTTTAAACAAGGACATAGAAGTGTGCCAAATAAGCTATAACAGGTTTTTGCTCAGTTAAACCAGAAAGGGCAATGAAGCACAGCTGTATCATCCACGGTACCCCAGTGGATAGTAGCAAAAACCTTCCCTTCCAACTGCTTCTCTTCAATGTATTAAAAACAAAACAGGCCGGCGCTGCGGCTCAATAGGCTAATCCTCCGCCTGCGGCGCCGGCACACCGGGTTCTAGTCCCGGTCGGGGCGCCGGATTCTGTCCTGGTTGCCCCTCTTCCAGGCCAGCTCTCTGCTGTGGCCTGGGAAAGCAGTACAAGATGGCCCAAGTCCTTGGGCCCTGCACCCACATGGGAGACCAGGAGAAGTCTTGGCTCCTGGCTTCGGATTAGTGCGATGTGCCGGCCGCGGCGGCCATTGGAGGGTGAACCAACGGTAAAGGAAGACCTTTCTCTCTGTCTCTCTCTCACTGTCCACTCTGCCTGTCTAAAAAAAAAAAAAAAAAAAAAAAAAAAAAAAAAAAAAAAGATACCAGCTTTCTACATCACAGTGCCTGGGTTCCATTGCTGGCTGTGTTCCTGACTCCAGATTCCTGCCAGTGCAGACCCTGGGAGGCAGCAGTGATGGGGCAAATGATTGGGTTCCTGTCTCCCACGTGGCAGAGCTGGATTGAGTTCCTGGCTCAGGCCCCTGCCAATGCAGCGGATGGGAGCCCACTCTTGCTTTCCTTCTCTGCCTCTAAAAAAAAAAAAAGAAATCTTGGATGAAGGTGGACAAATGTGACCTGCTGGCCAGCCCTGCAGCAACCACCCCTTGCTGGTTGGTCATGAGGTTCTTATCAATTCAGGTGCCAGGAAGACCCCAGCAGCTCTCATCTCCTTATTCACCAGGTACCTACTGTGTGCCAGGCTGGGAAAATAAGCCCAAACAAGGCACCCAGGATGTGTAAGGATAGCAGCAAGTGCTGTGGCTGAGACCAAGTGCTAGTGGTACGGGGTGGTCGTGGGTCACCTGCAGGCAGAGACTCCTGGCTGGGGCTTAAATGATCAGCAGCGAAAGGTCAGGTGCACAGGCTCTGGGGACAGGCCCAGCAGGTTCGAACCCGACCTGTCTGCTTTCTTAGCAATGTGCCTTTAGAGTATCGAGCCCAAGTCTCTGGGGCCAGATCTACAAAGTGATGGCAGCGCTCACTTCATGGTGTTGCTAGAGGCTGAAACCATAGAACCACTAAGGCACTCAGCACAGGGCTGGGCACACGCTAAGACTCTATGTCAGGGACACATATTTGCTAAGGTGATATGCAAGGTACTTGGGCAAAACAGACAAAAGTCCCTGCATTCCTCCAGCTCCTGTCCAAGGGAAGAGTCAGGTGACAATGAAATGAATGAGGAATCAAACCAACACTCAGGAAGTGATGGGTTTATGGAAGACCACAAAGCCCAAACGGTAAGGAGATGGCAAGGGGAGTTCTCAGTGAGCAGGCGACAGAGAACAAGACCTTGGTGAAGGAGAAAACCATGCAGCTCTCCTGGGGGAAAGGGAGGGGAGATGCCAGATGGCCCCTGGGGTGGGGGTGGGGGGAATGGGGCTAGAAGAGTCCAGAAGGAACAGGGAAGCCCCTGTGGCTGGAACAGAGGGGGCAGAGGGGAAAGCACTCTTTAGGTGGGTGAGAGGTCATGGAGGCCATGGGGTATTTTAGGGTGCTGGCTTTTCTCCGAGTGAGATAAGGAGCCCCTGGAGGACTTTGAGCAAAGGAGCGCATGCTCTGACTCGCTTGGAGAGGATCACCGTGGAGTAGTGGTTAGCGCTAGGATGCATCTGAAGTAGAAAGAAGAGGAAGTCATGCGGGTAACGGGCTTTTATGTTTTTTTCTCCAGGATCTTGCCTCGCAAGATACAGTGCAGACATGTATAAGGTGCACAAAGTGATAGCAAGTTCTATTCAAAAGGTGAGGAAGTGAACACACACACAGGCGCACACATGCATGCACACATGAGCTGGGTTGCCCCACACGTGAGCATGGGTGGCTGCACATAGAGCAATACCTGTCATTAGTGGGCAGTGGGCTGAAATAATTACCTGAGGGGAGACAGAGAAGTGTCTAGCAGTCCCTCCAGCCATGATCTGTAGCGAAACACAGAGAGAGGGAGACCCCCTCCCAGTTGTTGGCCTCCTGTACGAGGTTGGGGCAGTGCCTCTCCAGGCGTGAAGCCCCCTGGGAGATACATGGAGCCTCTGTAAGTTCTACCTGGAGCTCAATAGCCAAATTTTTATGGCATCGTCCCCCCAGGTCCCAGATGAATCAGGTGCATCCTGGGAAAGGGGATGCTTTTGACTGACAAGTGAGGGCTCATGACTTCCAGCTCACCAGACCTACCTGGCTGCCTGCCTAGCCCATGACAGAAGCAGCAGTGACTTCATGAGACCTGTTAAGATTGTAACTTGACAAACCAAGACATCAGCCTCAGAAATGAGGTCAGCATTCCTCTGTGGCAGGTGTACGATCAGAGTTACCCACCTCCTTGCCCACTGTGCTGGCCCTTCCTGTAAAGAGGGGTCTACTGTTGGGGTTGGGCGTTTTAGAGACTAACAAACTAGTTCGCATCCCAACTCTGCCACTCACTGGCTAGAAAAACATGGCTCATTCAACCATTCGGAAGCACAATTTCTCTTCCTGCCCCAGAGGACTAGTACATACTTAGTTAGAGTTGCTAAGATATTTTTAAAAATAAGTATATAAACTTATGGCACTGGGCTTTAAGAAAATCGCTGCTGCAACAGCTGCTTTTCTTTTCCTTTGTTTATTTTTTAAAAAGATTTATCTATTTCTTTTGAAATCAGAGTTACACACAGAGAGAAAGACATGCACAGAGACCTTTCATCTGCTGGTTCACTCCCCAAATGGCTGCAATGGCCAGCACTGGCCAGGCTGAAGCTAGGAGATAGGAGCTTCATCCAGGTCTCCTAGTTTGGTGGCAGGGGCCCAAACACTTGGGCCATCTTCCATTGCTTCCCCCAAGTTATCAGCAGGGAGCTGGATCAGAAGTAGAACAGCTGGGACTAAAAACCAGCGTCCATACAGGATGATAATGTCACAGGCAGTGGCTTTACCTGCTAGGCCACAATGCCAGTCCCCTTTTTTATTTTAAAGATTTATTTATTTTTATTTGAGAGGCACAGATGCAGAGAGATAGGGAGAGACAGAGACAGATCTTCCATCCACTGGTTCACTCCCCTAAATGGTGGCAATGACCAGCACTGGGCCAGTCTGAAGCCAAGAGCCAGAAGCCTCATCTGGGTCTCCCATGTAGGTAGCAGGGTCCCAAGGACTCAGGTCATTTTCCACTGCTTTCCCAGCCACATTAGCAAGGAACCAGATAGGAAGCGGAGTAGCCAGGACTCAAACTGGCACTTTAAGGGGATGCCAACGTGACGGACAGCGACTAAAGCCACTGCACCACAAGGCCGCCCCCAACAGGTACTTTTCCAATCATCAGCTCTGTGTCAGGCAAGGTGCTTGGCACTGAAGAACCTAACCAGACAAATAAGGTGTGGTCTCTTCTCTCAAGTTGCTCACAATCTCGCAGGCAAGAGAGATCATTTGAAAACCAGTAACACTAAAGTATGCTAAGTGTCACATTACAGAATTACAGAACGAAGTAGGCATCTTTTTATTCATTCACACAATGGAAGTTTGTTGAGTGCCCACAATGTAATGGGACTTCACTAGGACCTGAGGCGCAAAGATAATGAAGCACACAGCCTACCCTCAGGTAGCTGATACTCTGTTAGGAGGAGTCGGACAGAAGTAAGTCCCTGGGGTGGACTCTCACAGCTGGGGAGCAAACCTCTGTAGGATTTGCTTGCTTTGTATCTCTTCTCTCCTGGTGATAGCCTTGCAGTATTTCCTTATGGGACTATTCCTTCACTAGAGGTCTGTGCTGTCATACGGGGCTGATCCGGAGTCATTTGGAGCAAGACTCCGAGTGGCTGGCAGAGGCTTCCCTACTCCTGTCCCAGCAGCTGTTTTGGATGAGTGTCTCTCAGGACAGGGCAGGATAGGCTGTGAGAACTCCACTGGGAGCTCTGATGAAGACGTAGCGGGGAAGCATCGTCTTTCTCCTGGAGTTGCTAGAAAAGAAAGATACGGCTGAGGAGCTTCCTCCTAGAGGACGTCTGAGTGGCACGAACGCCACAGAGGAGTCAAGAAGTAGAGGAAATGGCCCGAGTCCTTGGGCCCCTGCACCCATGTAGGAGACCCGGATGCAGTTGCAGATTCCTGGCTTCGGCCTGGCTCAGCCTCAGCCACTGTGCCCATGTGGGGAGTGAACCATGGGGTGGAAGACCTCTCTCTGTCTCTGTCTCTCCCTCTCTGTCACTCTACCTCTCAAATAAATAAATAAAATCTTTTTTTAAAAAAAGTCATGGTCTTTCAAGACTACAAAAATGGAAGAAGTTACCTAGAGCTAATTCTACAATATACAGGGATTAACAAATGCCCATGGATTGCTAGTCATAGAACATTTCTCGAACTTTTTCAAATTTGACTTAGCAAATATATATGTAAGACCATGTGATGTGAGTAAAAGAATAGAAAAACAAATCCATGTGACAAAATAAAGAATTAAAAGTAGACTAATGTTTTTTGGGAACTTGGCATAAGGTATATATACATCAATGTATTATTTCGTATAAAATGCTAGGAAAAATATGTCATTATATGGAGAAAATATTAAGTCAGGCTTCTACAAGACACTAGTAATTAATCTTCCAGATGAGTAAAATGTAAATGGAAAAAAAAATTACTCTGACTGTGTGGTCAAGGGAAAACTATCTGGGGAAGGAGGGTTGAAGCTGGCAGACCATTTAGGACACCATTAAAATAATCCATGTGGGACAGGATGCCACTTGGGATGCCCTTGTCCTATACTGGAATGCCTGGGTCCAAGGCCCAGCTCCACTCCTCATTCTGACTTCCTGTTAATGAGCATCCTGGGAGGCAGCAGGTGATGGCTCAAGGAATTGGGTCCCTGACACCCATGTAGAAGACCCAGATTGAGTTCCCAGGTCCTGGCTGCAGTCTGGCTTGGCCCTGGCTATTGTAGGCATTTGAGCTTGAACTAGTTAATATCTCTCTCTCTCATAAGGGCCAGCATTGTGGTACAGCAGGTTAAGCCACCACTTGCAACGCCAGCATCCCGTATCCAAGTACAGGTTTGCATTCTAGCTGTTCTACTTCTGATCCAGCTCCTTGCTAATATGCCAGGGAAAGCAATAGAAGATGGCCCAAGTGCTTGGGCCCCCACCACCCATGGGGAAGATATTCTTAGAGTCCCTGGCTCCTGGCTTCAGCCTGGCCCAGCCTTCCCTGGCTGTTGCAGCCATTTGGGAAGTGAACCAGCAAATGGAAGATTTCTCTCTCTCTCTCTCTCTGTCTCTCCCTCTCTCTCTCTCTCTGACACCTGCCTTTCAGAGAAAGGAGGAGGAAGCCACAAGCTGGGACAGTGGGTGTCCCCGGAGCCCAGTGAAGGAACTCTGCCGACGCTGCTGATGGGTCGGCTCAGGGGACTCAGGGTCAAGCCCGGGTTCCAGCAGCATGAAGGTGATTGGTGACCCTGAGAAATGCGTCACTAATTTCTGAGTTCTCAGGCTCGGTGCCAAACACGGATGCTCGGGTTCTGGGATGTGGAAGACGCTGGAATGAAAAGCAGGCTGGGAACTCCAGCTTCTGCTGCTGTCTTGCAGCAAGCCCCACCAGACCTGTAGCACTGGAAGTGTCAGCACTGGAAGGCAGCTCACTGCTGATGCTGGGAGTTGTAAGGTTTCAAGTCCCCAGCCTGCTCATTGGCTCCCAGATTGCGTGATGGAAGCCAGCAGCAAACCAAAACAGTGCAGTGGCTACATGACAGTGTTAGAAATATGATCCCAGCCACCTCCAAAAACAAGAATTAAGAGGTGAGCATTTGGTCTAGCAGTTAAGATGTCACTTGGGCCGCCTGCATCCTGTATCAGAGGGCCTAGGTTCGAGTCCTGGCTCTGCTTCCAGTTCCAGCTTCCTGCTTTCCCAGGAGGCACCAGGTGGATGGCTCAAGTACTTGGGTCCCTGTCACCCACATGGGAGACCTGGATGTAGTTCCTGGATCCTAGCTTTGGCCTGGCCTAACCCTGGCAGTCACAGGCATTTGGAGAGTGAAGTGGATGGGAGATATCTCTCCTCCCCCTCCCCATTTCCATCTCTTTGACTTTCAAATAAAATAAATATATATTTTTTAAAGAATAATTATGTGGGATCCTTTGGGGCAGGGACTCCACTTCACAAATATACCCCGAGGACTAGCACACAGTAGGTGTTGACTGGCTGACTCTGTGCATCTCACATGTTATCTCACGTAATAGTCACAACACTCTCCAATATAATGAGGTGCCAACAGGAGACATGCTGATAAGAAACTTCAAACACAAGATCAGAGTAGGTGTGGTTAATGTAACTAACACAAGATGAGAACACATCATTTGATGCACTTTTTTTTTTAAAGATTTATTTATTTATTTGAAAGGCAGAGTGACACAGAGAGAGGGAAAGACAGAGAAATCTTTCATCCACTGGTTCAGTGGCCATAATGGCCAAGCTAGGCCAGGCTGAAGCCAGGAGCCAGGAACACCCATTGGCTCTCCCACGCGGGTGGCCAGAACTCAAGCACTAGAAGCATCATCTGTGGCCTCCCAGGTACAATATCAGGGAGCTCGATTGGGAGCTGGGGCTCAAACTGATATAGGATGCAGGCATGCCACACAGCAGCCTAACCCACTGTGCCACATCATGTGCCCCCATCCGATTCATTTGAAAGTGGTGATGGAGGTGAGGAAGAGGTGCAAAGGCTACTGAATAGTGATGCCTCCGTAGGGTGTTGCTTGCCTCTATCAGCATTGCCAGGTAGATGAGATGTATGAGTATTGTCTGTAATTCTCACGGCAATGCTCCAGAGTGGCTAATACCATTCCCCATCTTACATATGAGGAAAAATGAGGCTTAGAGAGCCAAAATAAATTCTTCCAAACCAGTGGGCTGCACTCTGTCTGTACAACAGAATACACAGGAAAAATACAGCCAGACAGTTAAAGAAGAAAACTATCACATAGGAAGAAATAGAACAAAAGTAAACCCCTAAGTGGATGCAGTTACTATGGCCAAACACTGCTGGTGGACAGCCAGGTGCAGCCAATACAATATTGATTTTGGAGTTGGACAAGCTTGCATTTGAATCCCAGGTTAACCATCTCCTCAAAGGAAAATGCTGGGGCAATCATTGAATTTTCCTTGAGCTTCAATTTCCTCATCCATGAAATGAGGAATCAATAATTACTTTGAGAGTGTTGTATTAAAGGAAATGAAGCTACTTGCATACTTGTAGATGCCCAGTGTTATTTCGCTTTCCCACCCACACCGGCTGCATCAGAAACTCCGGGGGGTGAGGGGCCCAGCCATCTGGGCTGCCAGTAGCTGCCCCCACCAGGTAAGGACCTGGGTGCTGCAGTGTGAGAACCATTGCTCTGTTTCACGACCCCCCAGGCTCTGCGTACAGCAGTGAAGGAAGCAGCTGCCCCGTGAGCTGGCAAGATCACCGTGACTCACTGCAGGCGCCATTCGAACGCAGGTCTGCAGCGGAACGGTGCTGGAACTGGGAAGGACAAACGTCAGTGTGGCGCAGACTTCTGTCCTTTCACATGGCAAATCTTGGCTCTGTCTGCATCTGTGAACATTACTGCCTCATAGGTGTTTCTCCAGTCATGATCCTGCCCCTACCTGAGTCTATGCCTCCTGATACCTAGTGCACCTTCTGCTCACGCAGCACAGGGGAAAATGCATGAATTTATATAGACACTCATGCATATTAAACAGTCCTGACAAAATAACCATGCTCAAAGTAAATGGGCAGACATGTTACTGAGACAATTTTCTAAATGGGATGTCAGAGTGTCCTATATGGTCTCTGGGGAGTTGACCATTCCAGTAGCAAAGCTGTGGATGCAGAGGGATGTGGGGGCCTTTGTCATGTGGGCCTATCATAGCTCCAGGTGTAGCAGGCAAAGCTTAGGGTGGGTTAGGGGCTGGATATTAATGCTTTTCAAACTATGATAGTTACAGGTAAACCACAAATGCTGTCCTAGGGGCTGGAGTTATGGTGAGGTGGGTTAAGCTGCCGCATGAGGCGCCAGTATCTCATATGAGCACAAATTTAAGTCGTGGGTGCTCCACTTCTGCTCCAGATCCCTGCTAATATACCTGGGAAAGCAGCGGGAGGACGGCCCAACTACTTGAGCCCCTGTCACCAATGCTGGAGATCTGGATGGAGTTCCAGGCTCCTGGCTTGGGCCTAGCCCAGCCCTGGCCATTGCAATCCTTCGAGTGAACCAATGGATGGAAGAGCTCGGTCTCTGTAACTCTACCTTTCAAATAAAACAAACGAAAACAAATGCTGTCCTCGACAGGGGTGTGCTGAGAACCCAATTTGTAGCGCCTGCTAATTTCCATGGTGAAACACTCTCACTACGGGAGATTTCCAGCTGCCCATGGTTGAACAATCTGCTTGCAAAGTTCTGAATATTTAATATCAGGCCCGGGTGGCCAATGTGAGCTGGCCCCTGCACACCACTGTGGCATCGGCTACTGGCTGGAGCAATTATGACTGGCAAGTAACATCATACCTTATTTATGGTGTCTGCAAGTCCCTTCAGAACACTCCATGGCAAGTCTTACGATGAGTAATCACCCTGTGGCTGATTTTATGAATTCTGACCAGTTCCCAGGAGACCAAATTTATATACTGAATTCTTTCAATAGAAACAAGTCTTTGAAAAAGGGTCTCATATCACTATACCTTTTTTAACTGGAAAATGTGAACAGCATGTTACTTATAATTATATAAGAGATAAACTTCTCTATTAATAATCTCTTTAGAAATGATCAGGTATATAAGAGATGCAAATGCCTATTGATTTATAGAAATATAAAAGTGAATGATAATTTTCAGCATCATTTTAAATGGTTAAATATTCAGATTTTATTTGTACTGATATTGCTGTTATTGCTGCAAAAAATAGTTTTTCAGGACCATCACTGTGGTATACGA